TCTGACCTTTCCTGTTTCCGGCCAGGACTCTGCACATCAACATCTGCGCTTTGTCCTCCTGTCCTAGCCACCTCTGCGTTCAGGGTGGTGAATTTCTACACTAAAAGCTTGAGCTGATGTACTCAGTCCTCATTATTCTTGGTGATTTGTTTTATACAGTTGGTGTAGACATGGAATTAGGGAGGAGCCATTGTTCCTAGGGGGAATACACAGGTGATCAGAATATACAGCGAATGTTTAGATTTAAAACATTTATTACAGTAAAAGACACATTGCCATTAATCACCTTCAAAATGCATGTCTCTCAGAGTTCTTGCCACTTTCCCCAGCAGTTCTGGAAGGGCCTGAGTGTCTTTCCAGGGTGTGATTAAAAGGAAACGGCGAATGCTGCTGCCAATGCCATCTGATGGAAAGGCAGGCTTGCAGAAATACTCCCACGCATCCTCACCCACCTGAGCCACTGGATCTGGCATCGTGTGACTTCTGGCTTTTCGACTGTGAATGTATTTTTTTGGTTTTGGTTTTGGTTTTGATTTTTTGGTTTTTTTGGTTTTTTTTTTTTTTTTTGTACCGGGGATCGAACTCCGGTCCTTGCACTTGTGAGGCTGGCCACTGAACTGCTGAGCTAAATCCCCAGCCCGACTACCATGAATGTAAACATTTTAGAAAGCCGCAAGAGCGAGGAAGAGTTTTTCGAGGGGGATGAATGCTGATGTGCATTTTATTGTAATTAAAAAATAGAATCATTCCCCCTAGTTTTCAGCCACACTGCCTAGGGAAATCAGATTGCTGTAAGCTTCTGGGCAAACCATTTTCATCATTTAGTCAGAATATACCTTTGTTCTCCGTGTGTTTCGGTTTACAGACCCCTTAGTTAATATACGCTATTGAGTCACAGTCAAACTCCCCGACAGCACTGAAAGTTACACCCAAATAAATCTCCCCTTATGTGGGCTTTTGGTTTTGCTACCCACACACAGTTGACATGTGTACAAAACACTTATCTTTTCTCGTCCCTTCCTTCTCCTCTCTCTCTCTCCCATCTTCCTAATCTTGATCTCCTTCCCATTTGAGAAAGATCCATCTACTTCCTATTATCTATCTTTTATTTTTGCTCTGTATTTAAACTTTGGGTTTCTCGTATAGGAGAAACCACATGTTATTTAAGCTTGTGTCATAGGAATTTTGTCCCTAAGGGACACTGTAGCCTCTTTGTGCTCTGGAACCCCAGACATTGCTTTAACACTATGCTTTGGACCATTTTTAATGGTGGAATTACCAAAACAAACCACCAAAAAGGGGAAAAAATACGGTGCAAAGTGCTATAAAAAAAAGACACCAAGAACAGTATGAGCTGAAACAAGCAGGCAGAGTGACACTTGTTGATGTCACTAGACACGTGTGTTGAGTGACTCCGAGTTTTTGCCACTTTGTACATGCACAGGAAAGTGTTATGGGCACGGATTTAGGGATTACAAATAAACTTTAGTACACAGACAACTTTGCAAATACAGAATGTGGGAGCAGGGAGGATGCTGGGGTATAGTATTTTTTCAGGTATTAAGAAGTTTGTTGGCTACAGGGGCTCTTCCCTAGCCAGACGGGGTATCCTGGAAGAAACCCTGTCTTTCACAAAGGCTGGCCTCCCGCAGTACCCCTGAGGTGGGAAGGGCTGGCTTTGTCCTCCTCCCTTTATGGCTGGGAACATCAAGAAGCAGCTCGCTTGCTCAGGGTCACAGCACAAAGAAAATGGAGTCGCTTCAGTTCCCTGCCGTGATGGGACAGTGTCTTCTCAGGTGGGAGAATTTCAGGGCTTAGCAATCATCAGGTGGAAAGTGATTTTTATCCTTGTGCGTTAGGTGAGAAGTGGCATAGCATCGTGTTTAAGCTCATCGATTGGTGAGCCGGGCTTCCTACCCGTGGGCCTCTGGGTGATTAGATACAAGGTAAGACCTTTCTGATCCTTGGTTCTCTTATTTGTAAAATGAACGTAATGAAGAGCTCAGTGTGTAATCCAGACTGAGCTCAGAGATCCTGCCAAGAACCCTGTAGACCCGGTGTGTGCTTTAGCCGTGATAATCACTCGAGGTACAGGGACCCCAGGAAGTGCGTGTCCAGTCCCTCGTGAGGGCTCTAAATACATGAGGGACCCAGGGAAGGGCGGCTGTAGTCGCACAGCCCACAGCCAAGAAGGGATTTTGTAATTTTTTGTTTGGGTTTCATGGTTTGGGCCTGGAAAGTCTATTGGAGAGCTTTATTTATCCATTTTGGCTCTCAGCAGATTAAACCTGTGTCACTTTTGCGGAGTGGGCATCTAATCGGATGAGCAAATGTTAGTGGGGGCAGTAGGCCCTGCCTCAGCCGGTGGACATTTAAGTAGGAGAAGGACAAGAACAGGAAGAGTCACGAGGCAGTGTATAATTAGTCATGGAAGGAAGAGGACGTTTCTCCGCGACCCCCACACCCGCATCTCTACAGCTACTTGAACATATTTAAACCTGCCGTTTCCACCCTACTCTCTGCCGCCCGGCGTCGGTTTAGCACAGGGCGGCTGTATGCCCCCATGGGGATGCAGAGGACAGAGCCACCTGTGTGCTGGGTCCCAGGCTCATTTCTGCTCTGGACTCCAACAGACCTCAGGCCCTGAGCCCAGCCCTTGGTGTCATGCGCCTCAGGCCACCCACAGAAGATCGTTTCAGAGGAGGTGCTTATCCTCCGCATCCGTATAATTATGACGGCTAGTCACCTGGGAAGGGGAGGGATTTTTCTTCTTTCTGTCCACATATCCCCGCCCCTCCATGGACCCTGGTCTCACAATGGAGGGGTCACTTCAGTTGAGAGAGAAGCGTAGCAATTTCTCTTCGCTGGCACGGAAATGGGGTCTCACAACCCGCTCAGCCGCCAGTCCTAGGGGCTGAGCGGGAGGGAGCTTCCCGCTGCTTCTGTCCACAACATTGCAAAGCGACTGCCCTGTGTTCTGATAGGAAACCGCCTGACCTGCCTTCCTTACGCTGATAGAATGTGCTTGCTGACATGTTGTTTTTAGAAAACTCCTTTTTCCCTGAGAGAAAGGGACACCTTTCCCATGAGTAGATATTTTGTGACATGTTTCAAGGAGACCTTGTACCCTCGGTAGTTTTTCCACTGTAGACACTTTTTATCTGTGAACAAGTGGATTCTTTCTTCTGTGTCTCTGTTGAGGACGCCCAGGGCGATGGTACAGGATCCACTGCTAAACGATTCCAGTCAGGTGACCCGACTCAGTTTGAAAAACACATCTGCTTAAGGTTAAAAATAATCAACACCTAGACAAAGGGTGGTTGTTGCTCCTTGCAAGATTAAAATCAGTCTGCTGGTGCACCAGATCATTGTATTTGTCTCAGAGAATCTTTTTTCATTTCATCTAAAGATAAAATTTAGTGAAAATGATAAAAGTTTGATTTTTGTTTTCTTCCCCCCCCCAAAAAAAATCTGGCAAGTCACACAGTGATGGTACCCTTTCATGGCTCTAGGACTCTTTCCATTTCTCTGGAGGATTGAAAGGTAGCTTGTCTAGAGCTGCTTTGAAATCTAACATAAAAACAGCAAAAATTTTTCAAAAGAGATGTTGAATTTCAAATAGCTGTTTTGGTGGAAGTGGATGAGTAGAGTTTAAAATGGAAAGGGCCAAGGCAAGGTTGTGCCCTCTGGCCCGGGGCCAAGCCCATCACCCAGCTGCACCTGCCCATGGTCTGCCAGGTGCTCCAGTGGCCGCACCTGCAGGCACCTGGGAACGTTCCCTAGGGTCATTCTTCACAGCTGTGTGACCTGTGTGGTCTTCATTCTGAGACATTGTTGGTAGAGAAGGCCCCTTCTAAATAGAAAGTGACCTGCAGTGGGCCATGGTGACAATGTCCATGGTCCCAGCTACTCAGGAAGCTGAGGCAGGAGGATTCCATGAGCACAGGAGTTTGGAGTCAGCCTGGACAACACAGTGTAGGACTCAATCTTGAGAAAAAAGACAATAGAGACTGACTTGTGGACAGTAATTTTTTAAAAATCTGACTTTGAAATTTTACAAATGGGCTGGGGACATGGGGGTCAGTGGTAGATCCTTTGCCTAGCATGTGTGAAGCCATGGGTTTGATCCCTGGTGCCAGTAGCAAATAAACAAAACTGTGTCTCACCTGTTTTCCCCTAAAATGCTTTACTGATACTTTGGGTGGGGCAGTGTGTTCAGAGGGTTATGTCTAAGTTACAGTTGTGTTCAAATGAGTAGCAGTTGAAAAAGAATAAGCCAAATACTTGTAACCCCGTCACCGCTCCCTCCTGGAGGACTTATTCCTCTGCTGGGCTGTGCCTCCCCCCACCATCCCTCTGTCTTGCGTTTCTCCTCCTTCTGTGTGCCAGTGCTACAGTTGCACATGTTTTACATGTGCGTTTTAGGGTTTTTTTCTTTTCTTTTTCTTTTTTTTTTGCTACCAGAGATCGAACTCAGATCCTTGCACTTGCGAGGCAGGCGGCAGCACCACTGAGTTAGATCCCTAGCCCCCTTTAGTTTACTTTTCACTTTCAGTGATACAGGACTGTTACAGTGGGTGGGTGAGGTGCTTGAGCTTGAATCCAGAGCCTCACGAATGCTAACTTCATGCCCTACTATGGAGCTACACTCCTGCCCACATTTTTAAAGTACCAAGAAAACAATAAGAAAGCTGAGTATTTTTCACCAGTTGCACAAGTGAGAATGAGATCCTTTCCTGTAGTAGGTTTAACTCAAGTCCAGGCTCTTGAAAGAAAGGTTGGAAGCCAGGAAAAGAGCCACTTTCTGTGTGTTTTTCCCGGTATCCACAACTCGGATGGAGCAGAGGGTAAAACGACATTGCTAAGGCTCCCGCCCTGTGGATCAGCCAGCTTTGTCATCACCGAGGCACAATAACTAATACGGTGCCCACCGTGTGGAGGAGGAGACGCCTCAGTGCTCTTGGGTTCAGTCCCTGGTCATCGGGCTCGGGGCAGGGATCATGCGGAAGGGCCGGGAGAAGGAGAGCTGCTTGGTTCAGCTGCCGAACAGCACAGAAAGGATGGGGCGGGGCACGGACTCCGACGGAGACTACACCACACCCACCCAGAAGTGTGCTCCACCAGCCGATCCCTGGGGCATATTCAAAGCCAGTTCAGGTGACCCTCAGCCCTCACGGCCACACTGGGTAGTTAAAACTTTTAAAACGTGGTGAAATACGTAAACGTCACCATCTTTTGGCCGTTTGAAGTGTGCAGTTCAGTAGGGAGCACATTCACGTTGCATTCCGGCCAATATCCAGAACTCTTTCCATGCTCCAGAACTAAAATTGCGTACGCTCTGAGCAACTCCCCTGACTCTCACCTAGCCGTTAGGAGGCTCGTCCACGCTCCAGCGTGCGTCCCGATCTCCCGCTCGATACCTGTGCTGCTTCTGCTCTGGGCTGTTGGTGCTGCCACTGTGGGGAGTGTGCATCACGCTAAGGCTTTGGCGCCTTCCATCTTCTGGAAGCAAAACTCCCAGATCAAGGCGAGTTTCAGAGGGAAAGGGAAGGCTGTCCCGAGTACAGCGATTTCCTTTATGGTGCCCAACGTTCGCATTTCCAGGAAGTGAGTGATTTTCTTTGTTGGAAGGCAGTAATGAGAGAGAGAGACAGACTGACATTAATCACAACCTTTATTTGTTAGTATCTGCCTTTTCCGTTCCTTGCCTTCTTTTATGTTTATTTTTTTATTTATTTTTTTTTTTTTTAGTACGGGGATGGAACTCCAGACCTTCAAGCTGAGCTCATCCCCAGCCCTCTTTTTATTTATTTTGACAAGGGGTCTCCCTAAGTTTTTAAGTTACCCAGGCTGCTTTCCACTTGAAATCCTCCTGCCTCAGCCCTTACATTGTTTTTTAAAACTTTTTTCCCCTCTGATATATAAAATAGATTTAGAAAAAAGAGAAATTCAAATTACCCATAAGAGACACCTAGTTAACATTTTAGTGTAGGGTGTGCACACGTGGGTGGGTTAGGCTTTGCCAGTCATGTTTTGTGTGTGTGTGTTTTCTTTACAGACCGGGATGCGTGTACTTTTTGGGTACATTTCCTTTTCTCGGTGTCCTACCCCCTGTCACTGAGCTCCTTCTGCTCCATTCCTGGGAGCAGGCTGAGTTCTTACAGTGACTCTTGTCAGCATTCGGGTGTCCTGAGTGTCCGTGCTGAGCATGATTTCTCTGACTTAGTGGAGTGGGCGAGCTGCCCTGCCACTTGCTAGTAAAGCAAGTTAGGAGTCCTAGGGGGCTCTGAACAACTACACCAGTGTGGGGGTGGCTGGGGTGACGCCGCTGGAAATAGAAACCAGTCCTTCACTCACCACCACCTTGTGCTTCGTTCACTGAATAAAACGTTCCTGCCGTTATCAGTGGAAGTCATTTCCCTCTTCTCCTGGGAGCATGCTTTAATATCTTTGTTTGTTAATAATGATTTCAGTTCTGCATCTCTTTTTCTGTGTGTGTTTGTTTTGGTGCGGGGAATCAAACCCGGGACCTTGCACTTGCCGGGCAGGCGTGGCGCCACTGTACTAAATCCCCAGCCCCTCTTTTTCTTTTTTTTAATTAAAAAATAATGAAAACTCCCTAGGCTTCTTCAGGATGCTTCCCAAAACTTTGCTCTCACATGGCTGGTAGCGTGGCCACATCACAAACACTGCCGGATGTGCTGAAGGCCCTGGCCCCTCAGGCCATCTTCACCTCCCCGTGGAGAATCGGCAGGCTCCGGATGGTCCAGCTATGGACCAGTTTTTTCAAAGCTGTTTGGAAATTCTGGGCCTGTTTTATTTACCAGATGTGCGTGTGTGTCTCTTTCTTTTTTTAACAGTTTTATTGGGTTGTTTAAAATATACTTCAAAAGGTCTAACAAGGTGCCATCCATATGGGAAGGGCGTGGGTTGGATTCTATTGATTATTATTTGTATGGTGCTAATTATTTTAGGGGTTCTTGGGTGCTGAGTATTTTGACTCATTTGGTCATGCAAAGGCATTTGCTGTGCACCTAAAATGGCTGAGCTGTGGACTTAGGGAACTAACTCTAGGGAGCCAGATGCTGCTGGTGCAGGACCTGGTTGAGGCAGGCCGGCTGGGGCCTAGGGTAGAGGTGAGGGGCCGCAGCCTGCAGGCATGGAGCAGTGGGAGGAAGATGGACAGGTTTGCTGGGACCCACGGGTGCTCCCTCAGGGACCTTGGGAGGTGGCTCTGTCTCATTGGAAGGAAGAGGGCCACATCGGGTCACGGCCAGGATAGACATGGAAGGAGACTGAGGCCAGCAGGGTTCCTGCCTGTGGTCCATTCCCAAGCTTAAAAGTAACTATCAGCCAGGGTGGTGGTGCACACCTGTAATCCGGCACTCGGGGAGGCTAAGGCGGGAGGATTCCAAGTGCATGACCAGGCTGGGGAACTTTAAAATCTTGGTGAGACCCTGCCTCAAAAAGGGGTGGTGTTGCTGCTGGGAATGTTTCTCAGTGGGAAGGCCCTGGGTTCAGTTCCACAAATGAACGAACCTGACCAGCAGTTCTTGTCAGCACCAAGAAGCTGGGCAGATGCGTTGAGGGCAGCACCAGCATCTGTGAGCAGAATGGGGCAGTGGGCTCTGGAGGGCCTCTCTTCTCAGGGCCATGGCAGGACGACCCCACCCATGGGCAGACGATGGGACTGATAGCCAGTTTACCCTCACAGAGTGCAGGAAACAGGCGTGGGATTTGCATGCCTGTGTTTACAACGGCATGATTCACCATGGCCAAAAGGTGGAGAGAACCCAAGTGCCCACCAAGGAATGGAAAACTGAGGTGTGACACAGGGTGCTCTGTCATTCGGTCTTAAAGAGGAAGGGGATTCTGCTGTGTATATTTTATCATAGTACATTTGGACGAGGAGCAAAGCTGCACCCAGGCCAGGGCTAGAGGCAGCCTCTGGCCACTCTTCTGGCCTGCTCAGTGTGCACCCAGGGGCACAGGTGTCACAGTTACTGCCGTCATACCACCTCCAGTAGACCCTGCTCGCCTACCTAATGATTAAATGTGGAATCTCGGGCCTCTCTGCCAGAAAAGCAAAGTTAGCTTTCACGTCCACAGTGCCGCAGGATTCCAGGAGTGGTGCCCCATTGAGCCTGAACCAGGTTCCCAGGTTTATTTAACAACCAAGTCATTTCTTTTCGCTGGGGAAAGCTTTTCTTTCTTTGATAACTTTCATTTGAGAAACAAACTTCAAAGATGTTTGGAAGTTCAAAGAGCTTCCTTTCAAGCATGGCAGAAGCTTTACTTCTTTTGAAACAAATTTCTGGATAACTCCTCAGAATGTGAAAGGACTGGAAACCAGGTTGGCCATGGCTGTAAGAGGGACTGGAGGTGTTGAAGGGCTGTGTGACCTGCAGAGGCCCCCCGGGCGCCGTTGCAAGCCAAATGTTTCAGGAGATGGCAGTGCTAATGACCCAGCCTTGGTCAGTGATCAGCACCGGTTTATACATGGGTGGAGTTATTGTACTAGATGCTGTAACTGTACACAGATTTGATGTGGAGAGTTTTCCAGCTTCTCTGTTGGGCAGCTACAGGGTGAGGGGCTCGTGTCGTGGCTGCAGGGTGGCCCAGTGTGCCACATTCGGGAGCCACTAGCTGGGGGCAGCCAGCCTGAGGGAGAGGTGAGACGACCAGGCACCCGTGTTCCTCTGTCCCTGCCAGCCCCTCACTCTGGCAGTCAGGTGCTGGCTGCAAAGGTCTGGATGTGGGAAGGTGCTCCTGGTCACTGTGGGCCTGCAGCCTTTCCCTCACCTACCGTCTGCTGCCTCTGCAGCTGTGTTGAATCTTGAGTTTCTTCATCTACAGAACAGGAGTCAGAAGATGTTAATAAAAGCCTTGGTGAAATACTTGGTACAAATTGTTCTCAAAAGAAATATAAGTGTAATCGAGGGCCTGCCAGCTTTTGCTCTGTTCTGACATCCTTCCCAAGAGCCTTGGAACTTCGGTTATGATCTGGCCACGCACAAAACCAGCTCCCTTCCTTCCTCCCCACCTGTCTTCCGGAGGTTTAGTGGCAAAGGTTGCCCCTGAGCCTTACCTGTTTCTGGGTCCCAAAGCCACACCCTCAGGTGTCCAGCAGTACATTGATGGCCCTGAGTTTTATTGCTTTACTCGCAGAAGCCAGGCTGCTGGGATTGTCTGGTCCTGGGTGAGTGATGAACCCCAGGCCCGGTTCAGCATGGCAGAACACCTTGCATGTCCTCCGTACTGCCCGAGGGCTTCCATTTGGAAGGACACTGGGGGAGTCCACACTGAGCAGGAACCGAGGACCACGTGGAGGGGCCACTCCGCCTTGTGAGGTTTAAGACTGTCTTTTCCCGTAGTGTTCCTGGAAGTGGTGGGCAGAATGTGTTCCATCCCTTGCAGGTTCGGTTACTCGGTGAAGGTGGAATGAGTGGACCTGTGACCTGTGTGACTGGGTCCACCCCACCCGGGTTACTGACCTCCAGGACCTATGCTGGCACCAGCACCCACCCACGAAGCCTCCTCTGATTTGCCCTTCCACATCCCCATCCTGGGCTAGCTGGGGTCCTCCTTCCTGGTCCCATAACACCTGGGACCCAGGACCCAGCACACTGTCCATTTCTGTAACCGTCTCCTCCTGTGTCTGCCCTCCCGGCTGTTCGTGAGGACAGGCGCTCGATCCCTTCATCCTCCTTGGCAGCCCAGCACCTCATGGTGAGCACTCAGTGGATGGGCGGTGACTGACCGCATGAAAGAGCAACAGTTCAGTCTGAGACTTGGCTCCGGGCTGGGGTAGGGGCCTCATGTTCCTTGAGCCTCCACGATAGCCACTGTTCTCTTCTGTTTCTTGGTGAAGCTTTACAAAGCCCACTCTGGGCCCCCCCTTTGGCAAGTCGGAGTGGTCTTTCTCCTTGTGATCTCAGGAATCTGCTCATTTTTCAGAGAGGGGCTTCATCCCTGCACCGGTGACTCACCTGTCAGCCTCTTCCGAAGCCCCTCCTGCTCCTTTCTCACAGTGCCCACCTGACACCAGCCTCCTGTGTTGCCCCGCTCAACTTGCCTGCATCCCGAGCTCCAGCCTGTGGCTACTGACCAGGGTCTTGGAACTGGGTTTGTCCTCTCTTCGTACAGGGTCTTGAGCTACCTGGAAGGAGAACCATGTCCTTGATTTCTTGATACTTCTTGGAATCCCCAATGCCTACAGCTTGAATTTTAATATATACGTGGCGAAGATGGTGAGAGTGAAGACAGTGACTACTCAGGCCACGCAGTTGAGTCTGTTTGAACTAGAATCGCGCCTTTCACCATTGCTACCCCTGTGAGCACTGTTCTGTGCATTACAGCAGTGGTTTCTCAGCTCTTCCTGGGAACATTTGGTCTGTTTCAGAAATGACAGGGAAATAAGAGACATGGGTACACCTACACCTTGTATCTGATTCTGTGTCTATTTCCCTTTTTTGGCTTTTTTAAGCTCTTGCTTTAAAAGATGACATCATTAAACATGCTTGAGAAAATAAATGGTAGTTGATTGCATTTATTTTTAGCCTGCTGCGCTCTGAAAACCGCATATCTCACACTCTCCCTGGTTGTTT